AGGGTCATGGCATCAGAGGCATCGCCGTCCCCGACTTCGCGCAGGATGCAGGCGTCACTCCCACTGCTCCCAAGCTACCCTGAGCCTAAACAACCCCTTCTGCAGGTCCTTCAAAGTCTCTTTCGGGGTCCAGGTAAAGCTTAAACTACCGGACCATAACCACAACCTACGGATTGCAGGTGATTTCTTTAAATGCAGCGGTTGATGGAGCCCCTACCAATTGCAGGTGATTACTATAACCCCTAAGATAGACTTTATGGGCCTCAACCTTAAACCCTAAACCCCTCTACGAAGAACTAGGTTGAGGTAGCCTACGGGGAATATCGGGGGTTCAGGGTGGTAAGGTGGGTAGTTCTCTAAACTAGGGCCCCCTTTTTTTTGTAGATCCCCAAATCTAGTCCGGCACCCTTAAAGAGAGCACACCAAAAGAAGGGCCTAATTTAGAGAAGTGCCCATAGAGGCTTCGAAGGTCGTGTGAAGGCGTTTTCAGCCTGGGGGTTGAGGGTTAAGGGAGTGGCGAATTCTACGATTTGTGGTTTAGGGTTTAGGGTCTTGGGCTTAGGTCATGGAGTGGTGAATCTCAGACCAGATCTAGGAGCGATCGCAAGACAGTTCAGATTCTCGTCCCTAGGATGCATGCCTCAATGCGATACATGAAACACTAGCGGTTACCAGAAGAAGGACAGTAGTGGGAACTATCAGAGGTAGGGGTAGCCATAGTCGTCGTCATCGTCGTCGTGGTGGTAGTGATGGTCGCAAGCACATTATGACAGAATAGCAAGAAGAATGGCCAGCCAACACGAATCACCGTCGTGTCTGACCCCTGAGTTTTGATGGACGTTCAACAGTCTCACCGAGGGCCTCCAGTCACATAGCGCGGTAATGCACAGCTGTCTCAGGGTGCTGGTCTATCAGGTTCTGGGTTTAGGTTGTCGTTTCCAGGAATCAAGACTCGCCCTACACCCTAAACCCTAAACCCTAAGACTTGGCCCCGAATCTGAATCAAACCGCCTTTTCAGACAGAAGCCCAGGTTAACGCCTACGTGGTCCAGTCTCCGCTCTTTTCGACCAACCCGCACATTGGCAAGAAACTCGGCTGCCACACGGAGCCAAGCATCTCTGGGAGGGGTCGGAACTTCGAATCCAAACCCTACCCATCGGCTCCATAGTAGTTCCTTTTTGTGGTTCATATTTAGGATCCTATAAGGCAATCCCAAAAAGAAACTACTTTGCAGCCTATGGGTAAACCCTAAACCCAATGGAGCGGCTTTAAAGTTCAGGGTCCGAGGATATTTACCACCGATACCCTTGGAAGAAGAACCCTTAGTTTTTCCAATCCCAAACCCCTAAGCCCTAAACCCAAAGCCTACCCTAAACCCTGAACCCTAAACTCCCCGAAACCGGAACACTCTCAACCAAAAACTCTAAACCCCCAAATCCCCCAACCGCTAGACCTCAAAACCCTATGCCTAGACCCCAACCCCCTGAAGTCTGAAGCCCAAAATGCCGACCTGTTTGAGGAACTAGATATAGAAACCATGATAAGGAACCCTAATAGGTCTTTCGGCTAGGCATTAAGACCCAATGCCTGTACCCCAAACCCTGAACCCTAAAACCCTAAACCCCAAAAGCCTAAACCCCAAACCCCTAAAGCCCTAAACCCTAAACCCCTAGACCCTAAAACCCCTAAAACCCTAGACCCCTAAACCCTGATCTCTGAATCCCAAAATGCCTCAACTCTCGACCCTCTCTCCAAGAAGCTGGGCTTCTTCGATCCCTTAAAACCCTTAACCCTAAAACCCCTAAAATCCCTAAAATCCCTAAAACCCCTAAAACCCCTAAAACCCTAACCCCTAAAAACCCAGGAAGCTGGGCTTCTTCGATCTCTATCATAAACCCTAGACCCTGAGCCCTAAACCCTAGACCCTGAACCTGGTCCCTCAGCCAAAGCCTCGGAAGCCCTAAGAGGAAGCTGGGCTTCTTCGATCTCTATCACACCCTAAGTAGTTCCTTTTTTGTGGTTCATATTTAGGATCCTATAAGGTAACCCCAAAAAGGAACTACTTAGGAAGCTGGGCTTGTTCGATCTCTATCACACGGCCATGGTCTTCCGTCAGGAGATCCCAGGCCAACGCCGGCTCTTTTCGGGCTTAGGGCCTTAGGGTTTTGGGGTTTAGGGTCTTAGGGTTTTGGGTCTTAGGGTCTTAGGGTTTAGGGTTTTAGGGCTTTGGGGTTTTGGGTCTTGGTGTCTTAGGGTTTCGGGTTTAGGGTCTTAGGGTTTTGGGGTTTTGGGTCTTAGGGTTGAGGTTTGGGGTGTAGGGTCCTGCTCTAAGCGTTGTTATAAGCGTCACTATATTGGTTGCTATAAGGCCTATTGTATGGGTTGCTAAAAGGGTTATTATGTAAGTTGCTATAGGGGTTACTAGAAGCGTTTGTGGTTCATGGGCGAAGCAGCGAAACGAGCACGCGAGCAAACACACAAACATGTGCATGAGTACATCTATACCGGTAGCATCAACCATCAAGATTCCTGAGCCCTAAGCCCTAAACCCTAAACCCGTGTTTTTTTTGACAACATTGATCAGGACCATATCTTTCTCTGACGTCTGGGAATTGGCCCCTGAGCCCTAGTCCTCAAACACTACATGCCATCCTAGGCCGCAGCCTAAACCCCTAAACCATAAGTCCCGAAATCCTTAAACCTTACTAAATGCACCAAACCCCGAAACCCCATAAGCCGCTAAATCCCTATAGATCGACAAGAGATACTGCACCCATTTGGGGCAGCTTGAAAGGAACTCTTAAAGAAACCCGCCAAAAGGAGCACTTGAAGATACCCTTCATGAAACTTTCAAGACCCAAAGTCCGAAAAAGGCCGTACACCTTGACAGGCCAAGAGCCTACAACCCAAAACCCTAATCCCTGAACCCGAAACCCCTAAACCCGTAAACCCCGAAACCCCGAAAGAAACCCCTAAACCCACCCCCCCCCCCAAAAGAAAAAAAAAGAAAACCTAAACCGTTCATCCCTGGCAGGTCAAGAGCCGCGGAACTGGACCGTCGAATTCGACTCAGTCCTGGCCTCATGGTGATCTGCTCCCGGGTTTGTCTAGGGTTCCTAAGGCCCTAAGGGTCCATGTACCCAAAGAAAATACATACTTTGGGCCCAAAGTACCCAAATAGGGAGTACTTTAAGGGCAAAGTATATACTATTATATACTATTATATACTATTATATACTATTATGTACTATTATATGCTATTTGGGTACATGGACCCTTAGGGTTAGGGGCGCCTCCGAGAGATCTTTGAAGGGACAGGAGTCTATGAAGGATCGGCTATAAGGATCCTCAAGGGTTCGACGAGGGTTTAGGGCTTCAAGGGTTCTAGGAGGGTTGAAGGTTTAGGCTGGGGTTTATTTGGGGTTTCAAGGGTTCTATGAGGGTTGAGGGATTAGGGTTTAGGGCGAACCGGTCGACATCATAAGCGGACTACTAGCCCTTGTTCATCAGGTTGCACTGTGCTTCTGGAATGGTCCTAGCTCTTCACGCTGGACTTGCTAGAAGAGAGCTCGACACCGAGCTTGTTTCGTGTTTCTGTAATGCATCTCTGTTTCTGCCCAATCCTTGGGTCCAACCAGACGAAGGATTAGGTAAGGTTATTGAAAGCCATAAACCTTCCAGATGTTCGGGCAGCGTTGTCTTGTTGCCCCAAGTTTGAAGCCTTGCGGTACATTCATCGTCATCGGATCCGGTCGTCCATGGTGGTGAAAGAATGGATGAAGGTTTCGGATTCGATAGGGTGCTGTTGTAGCGGCGCCATGCACCGACGACGATAGTTAGTGGGAGTGTCGTTGTGAAACACCTAGACACTAGCATTTCGTGATTAGTCTGTTTTGTAGTATGCTCAGAAGTCTTACAAGTCTTAGGGTTTAGGCTTGTCGTGCTTTCGTCATGGCAGCACTTCCTGAATGAACCCCCGAAACCCTAAACCCCAAACCCCACCTACGAGCCTGAGGTGATAGGACCCTTTAATTTAAGGAACCTAGGGTAGTAATTACTATGGAGAATCAGGGATCACTGTGTTGTAACACTCCCCTAGGGCTTAGGGTTTAGGGACTACGGAGACTCAGGGATTATTCCCCGCCTGAAGGATCCCATTAGTGTCGAGGACATTTTCAGGTGGATAGTTACCGTTATAGGAGCCTTTTAGAAGGTCTATTTACCTTATGGAAGCCTTATGGAAGCCCTAGTATACCCGAAACTCCCCACCTGTAGTTTCCTTTAAATAGTGAGGTCACCAATGTTCTGGGCGCCGTCCTTCCGAAGATTGACAACGGAACCCTGAGTTGGAATAACGACGCCCGATACTGCGTCACTCCTGGGGTGCTCTGGGGCGAGGCCGGGGCTGGACTTCGGTCTCTGAAGCATTACCTAAACCACTTAAGAAGTATGTAAAAATAAGTTTTAGTGGCCCAAAGCCTACAAACACAGGGCTGTTCTTCTACATACTTTAGGGGTCCAGGTGTTAGCTGCAAGCTGCTTTGTCAAGTTTGTGCCGTAGATCCTACGTCCTCAACACATGGGTCGGAGTCTTGCGGGGCTGGTCAAGCTGAGACCAAAGCCGGGCACCAAGCACGAACGGCTGTGAAGGAACCATCCGTAGAACAGTGTTTGTTGACATAGCCCGGCCCTAACACCCCAGGTACCTACTATATAGGGTACTAGAGCCGCTAGGGCCCTATATAGTTGGTACCTGGAGGGTTAGGGTGGGGTTTGAATACTACCTCACATACTCCTGTGCCTGAAACCCTGCGCTTGTACCGTACCGAGAGTCTCTGTCGGAGCAGCCGTTTACAGCCGAGACTGTCCCTTCTGTGCCCTTTTAGAACACTGTGCCATCGAAGTCAAGCCCATCATACCACGAACCCTAAACCCCAAACTACCCCTTCGCTTGAGCAGGCTTGACATCCTTTGCCAAGCCAGGTCTTCCGTTGATAGCATGTCAACTGTGCCCCTGAACCGATGGGGACACTCGCTTCTTGTGGGGATCGAGGTGGCAGATGGCACAATTCACAGGCAGATGGCATTCGAGTACTTGACGAAGCCCTCATGGGACAGGCGGCATGCGCTGGCTGTCATTCTTTTTGGCTTGCGAGTGCTCTTCTACGTTGTTCTTACTGTGTTCGTTTGGTTTGCTGTGCTCTGGGCCTTGCAATCTTGGAACTATGGCGGGCCTCAATGGCGCAATCTCCCCATTTTTGCGGCTGTTACAACACGGTACATCTGTGCCGTAAGTATGCCGCTGGGCGGCTTACTCATGGTCTACGGGCCATTCCTGAACCAAATGTCGGGGCAAGTTCTTTCACTTCGAGCTCAGAGTTGGAATTCTGAAGCTGGCAGTTTGCGGGTAGCGTATCGGTAGCTTAGATAGCCACTGGGAGAACTTGTAATTTTCTGGCTTTATATAGTATGTCTATCTTTTAAAGGTTGAGCTTTTTTGGGGCGGGTTTTTGGAAGAAGAGAGGTGGGCATTGGCTTGGATGTTGCCGATGCTTGTCTCTTCGGCGATGGCTTGTGTTTCTACGAGCTGGATCGATGCATGTCATCATTACTTTTGCCAGGACCTTCAGCTGCGTCGATTCGGCATCGAAGCCGGTGGCTTTGCCGCGGCCAGCCTTTTCTACATTCACTGCTTGGTTTGGTGGCGTGCTGAACACATACCTGTCCAGAGCCAAATGATTTCGTCTCAGTTGCATGCGACGGATGATGTGTTATTGACGATGCTTCTTCGCCTGGCGTGGAATCTTGCATGCTGGGCAGTGCCGGTCCTTCTTGGTTTTGGCTTCCTGTGCTTGTTTCAGTCTCGACAGCTCTTGGAGAATTTGCTTTTCACCTTGGGCTGCCTCGTCTTCGTCCTGGTTACTGGGGCATGTTCGCGTCAGCTCTCCTCGAAACAAGCTTGGATAAAGGCTCTTGCAATCTTCATCTCTTTCACCTGCCTTCGGCTGGCCGTATGGGTCAGCAGGAGTGTTGAAGCTGAAGGCGCTGTGATAAAGATTGACCCCACAACTTCGCTTGCCGAGTGTGCGAAGAACGACAACGGAACATGTCGCATCAACGTTGAGAGTGGCCAGTGGAAAGCTCAAGAGTTTAACGTGCTCCTTCTATATACAACCGCTCTGCCTGCGAGCCTTGCGCTAGCTTGGGAAGCACTGAGGCCCTCAACTGAAGCAGCCGACCAGCTTCCAGGGCCGTGGGAATGGATTCTGAAGATCCTTTTCGCAACGTTTGTACCAGCGTCAATCGCCAGCTTGTGGGGCCTAACATACCTGCATGAGGACGTTGACCCCTTGGCAGTGGAGATTCTCCTCTTCGTGCTTACAGGCCTTGTTGGCTGCTTCTTCCTGCGGCAGATGCACTGGCGCCTGCACTTCTGGACGAAGCTCCATGGCTCGTCGCAGCTTCGCACAGAGTTTGTGGTTGCGCCATCTGGAAAGCCGTCCCCCCACCCCAGCCTCCGCCGGGCAGCTCAAGTGTCCAAAGTTGCCGGCAACCGTGCCAAGGTTCTGCACATGAAGAAGCCTTTGCCAGGATGGCCCGGCATGCTGGACATCATGCCGAGGCTAGATGCTTTGTTGATGATGATGCAGTCCACAGTCCTTCCATTCTATTATATGTTTTGGTCAGCAGCTCTCAGAGAGAAGAGCCGCCTGTGTAGCAGCGTGCCTTTTCTTCGTCAACGCGACGTGACGTCCCTGTCAAGGATCTCAGTTGCATTTCTTACTGGTAAGGCCTTCTTGTTGATAGTCATCATCCTCGCTCCCGTGATTTTTGGTGAGCAGTATGTGCACTACGAGCCAGTACAAGATGTTGCTGGCCAGGCGATGGAGCATGTCGTTCAAAGAGATCTTGAGATGGCCCATCTTAGGCAGCATGCAATGTTTCTCGGTGAACTTGGATATGGTTGGTGGTCTGGCACGTCCGAAATGTATCGCCACGTCTTCATCTTGCTCACTGCAGCATGCGCTGCCCTTGCATTTTGCTGGTACTGGAGCGGCATGTTTTCGATTCTGGATTGTGTGTTTCAATCTTTTGCAGTTTGGACAATAACCCATGCTGAGATTCGAAAAGTGATCCTCATGCGGGATGCTCAGCCTGGAGAGTGGTGCGCTTTTCAAGCCAGTGCGGCACCGTGGCTCCAACGAGGGATCTTGCTGCTGTTTCTGCACGCAGTTCCAGCGCTTCTCACAGCATGGAGTTCCTGCTGGGCCTATCTACACAACGGAGCAAGTTTTCTTTGGCTCCAGATGCTGATTGTAGGAACGTTGCCCGGGCCTGGAAACATGCTTGCAGTATCAGCTGCGAACTTGCAAGATTCGCTTGAACACAGTGCCTGTTTGCTGGACCAGCACTCTGGAAGGGTTTTCTTTTCATGTCTTGCAACTGCGCTGACGCTTCTTTCAGCCCCCGAAGATGCGAGTTTGACGGATATCATTTGGTTTACTCTGCAGTTCTTGCTGCAGCTGAAAAGTCCCTTAGATGGCTACGCGCTTCGCCTCAAGCGCATCGGTGCCATCGCCGCAGAGCTTGCCAAGGCCCATACGGCAGAATATGAGCCAGTCATCTTTGAAGCGGGAGCTGCCCGTATCATCCCAGAGATGCGGTATTTTGGCTGCTTGCCTGGCTTAAGCAAGATCGAGATCGACTCGGCATTTACGGTGAACGAAGTGGAGCGTTATCAGAGAAGCTATCCATCTTTGGGTGCTTGGGCGGACGTTGAGCTGAGGCAGGGCTCTTTAAAGCCACGCGAGACATGATTGTAGTTTCTCTGTCGATTACGACACCCTTTCGAAGCTGAGCTATCAGATAAGATATGATAAGAGATTGCACGACCTAAACCCTTAACCCCTATAAATGCCATGTGCCCTAGAAACCGTATATGAACCCCATAAGCCTATTCACCCTATAGAAGCCCTGTAAACCATATAAGCCCCATAGCCCTTATGAAACCTCATAAACCCCATAGGGCGTAAACCCTATATAAGCCCTATATGCCCTAAATTACTAAAGCCTGAGGTTCGATTTCAGAGAGGTCTGGGTCACGAGCCGGCTGCAGAGGCCGAGGTTGGCGGTATCTTTCAGCTTCCAGGAGGGGGTTCTTGTGAAGGTTTAGGGCTTATTTTAGGGGTTGAGGGTTTAGGGGTTTGGGGTCTGGGGTTTGGGGGTTTAGACATTAGAGGTTTGGGTTCTGGGGTTTAGGGTTTGACAAGAACCCGGAGGAGGAGGATATCTGGGCCTTCTGGACGCTTCAGGTACGCGGCACTCGAACCTGCTATACCGAGTTTTCTTTTTATGGTGACCTTCCGGATCCACCAACCTTCGATGGCCAGTGGCGGCTGTGGCCGAAGGGGCGCTATTGTCACGTGGAGAATTCTAAGTTGTGACCTGGGTGGAATCCGAATATGTTTAACACTCGATGTTAAATTTTAGTTGGAAGGCTTCACCCCAAAGTGGGATATGCCCGTGGATTGTAGAGCAGTCAAGGTATGAAAGTGGGAGCTGTTCGCCACAGCTTGTGTTGAACGCGGAGTCCATGAAACTGCTAAAAGGCGGTGCCGTCCGCATGAACGGCTCCCTTTGGGTGCGCGCAGGGCCTGCAGGATTCCTATCAGGTCAATGTGAAGATCGGATCATACTCACGACGATGGAATGGTTCGGCAAAACGTCCGGCACCATCGTCTTGGACTTCCAGTCTAAAACAAGGCGAATAGAATTCGCCGGCAAGTGGACCACAGACAACAGTGAAGGCTTCGGAGTTTTCCGGCTGAGTGCACCGCTTCTATTGTGGCGGGCTGATGGAGGTGCACGTAGAGTTGAGCTTAAAAAGCTGCACTTTTTTGACAGTGTAATGCCCCTGCAGCCCCCGCATCTGGGCAGAACGTACGGCGCTCAACACGTGCAATGCAAAGTGTGCCTTAGAGGAGGCAGTGAATATTTGTTGACCCCGTGTGTCAAGAAGATCACCACCAACTGGCGGCAAGTCTTCACAGGTGAGTCCGTGGGATCCATGGAGAACGTCGTGACGATGGCAGATCCAGGAGATGAAGTGCGCAGAGGGGAGGGCGACCTCCTGGAGTACGAAGAAGTCGATGCAACCGGCGCAGTTATCCCATCGGACCGAATTTATTTCTCCAGTGAGAAAATGCAGATAACTGATGCCAAACTCACCATACATGCTTCAACGAGAAGCTTTGGGGAGAAGAAGTGGGCCGACCTTTGTCGCAACCCCGGGTACGCTTCTGCGGCTCAGGATGCGGGGTACTATGATGACTCAGTGCACTTGATGGCGCCAAGCCACATTTTTGAGATGATGTGGCCAAGATCCATGCCAAACGAAACAAGCCTTAAAGACGACGTGACAAATACGGAGGACATTGATGTTTGCAATGCCGCTGGCTGCGAGACTCCTTGCTGTCTGCGCAGTGAGGTCGCCGAGTGTCAGCAGAATCTTGATGATCTCTCGATGACTGCAATGGTTTGGCCAGGCCTGCCGGAATGTGCCGCGACAGCAGCCTCCCGTCCACCACCTCCCTGTCCTGGTTGTGAGATGCCAGCTTCCGTGCCTTGGGGTGCAGAGGCTTTACTCGGCCCTCGGCCGCAGCAGAATTATATTCGTCGTGCTGACTCAGGGAATGCCATGCCACCGGCACCCTGGGAGGCCGACATTTTCCTGGCGGGTTCGTCGAAGGCCGAGCCTGCTGAGGGCATGGGAGATTGCTCCGATGCCGCAGTTTCAAGTCTTGTTCCCACCTCTCTTGGCAAGCCTTCTGCGAAGCACAAAGCGAAGGCAGAGGGTCGGTTGAAATGAAAGGCACGCAGTGTGGCAGAACAGTTCCGCAGTGTGGCAGAACATGCCACAAGCAAGGGCTGTTGTTGTACAGTCAACATTTTGGTCCGGATTTGCTGCGTCCTACAAAGCATGAGTCTTAGCGAGAGCGTGAGTGGACAAAAATAGTACGGCCGCATCGAAGAGAGAGCGAGCGAGCGAGAGAGAGAGAGAGAGGAAAAAAAAAAGAAGAAAAGGGGGGAGGAGGTGACAGCTCCAGAACTGTCGAAGCTGCCGACTTAGGCAAGGCCTTGCACCCTTTTTTCCGGGCGGTTTGCCGCTTTGCGCCACAGGCGCCCGAAGTGTTGGGGCACAATTTCAACTCGACCCGGCTTGCGTTCCCTGGAGCAGATGCTACTGGCTTGATTTATATCGGCCCAATCATACCAAGAACAATAGGATGGATTGAACAGGGTTTTCATGCCATCAGCCTCCTCCATTACCTCTTGTTCCTGCCTTTGGCCAGGCACATTGGAGCAAGATGAACCTTGGTTGGCATTCGGTACACAGTCTCTGCTGCTTCACTTGGTCTTGCTTCAAACCCTAAGGCATTCTACAAGACACACGACAGTCTTTAAGCGATCTGGCCAACTTTCAGGATTGTCAGGTTGCCTAATTCACCTTTTAAAAATATCTTTAGGCACCCTGACAAAGCATTGATACAACCCTCATGCAAGGCCCTTATACAACTGCATAATTGCGCTCTTGTTAAACTCTGTGAAAACCGCACAAAGCCTCCTAAACCCGTACAAAAAGCATCACCCCTCGTATCGGCGCGCTTTTCGGGGAATGCGGGCGGGGGGGGGGGGGGGGGG